GTTAAATAAATAAATAAATAAATAAATAAATAAATAAATAAATAAATAAATCCATCCATCCATCCATCCATCCATCCATCCATCCATCCATCCATCCATCCATCCATAAAAATACAGAGGGATCAGAAAAGTCTCTCGTTTTGGAGGCAGAGGAGACTACAAATCCCACAATCCCCTCGCTGCCATGGCGCCGGTTCCTGGGAGCCGTAGTCTAAAATGACATCCTTCCCAAAACAGAGGGATCAGAAAAGTCTCTCGTTTTGGAGGCAGAGGAGACTACAAATCCCACAATCCCCTCGCTTCCATGGCGCCGGTTCCTGGGAGCCGTAGTCTAAAATGACATCCTTCCCAAACTCTGGTTTAATCTGTTTTCTTGGGGGGGGGGAGAAACACCCAGAATGATCCAGTCAGCTTGACCGTGGTGACGGCTAACATCTGTGTCCTTCCCCCCCCTCCTGTTTTATAAAAAAGAGAAGTTTGGTGGACGGAGGAGGTTTCTCTGGGACGGTGTGCCAGCTCTCCTGCTCGGTCAGAGGGTCCTAAGGCTCCCTCTTGGAGAGAAGCAGGGGGTGGTGGAGAGGGCTTTCCAGGCCACGGGCTCAGATTTCAAGCAGAATAATCTGGAGTCAGACATATTTTGGGTTCCTAGCATCTGCTAACACACCTTGCCCTCCTTTTCTCTGTTCCAGATTTCTCCTGGTCTTCAGCTGCCTGGTCCTGTCTGTCTTTTCAACCATCCAAGAACATCAAAAATTTGCCAACCAGTGTCTCTTCATCCTGGTAAGGGGCTCCCTCCTCACCTCTCTCACTCTTTTGTCTTCTCATCCAATGCCTGTGATTCCTTTTTCCTGGAAACTCTGCTCCCCTCCCCCTAGCCAATTCGTCCCTCTCCATTTAGCCACCTTAATCTTCTCAAGATGCTTCTGCTCTTTCATGAGGTCTCTGTCCTTCCTCCCTGGTGTGTACATGAGTAGACGCAGTGGCATCTTTGGGATCCTTTTGGGATCATCATCTTGTGGAAAAATCGTCTTGCGAGGTTCCCTATGCATCGGTCTTAAAAAAAAAGTCTTGCAAAGCATCAGTCTAAAAAAAAAGTCTTGCAAAGCACGGTCATAGAAAAAAACATCTTGCGAGGCGCCATAGTGATTGCAAAAACTAATCGTCTTGCAGGTTTTTCGTCCCACGAGGCAATCGTCTAGCGAGGCACCACTGTATTAACCCAATAGGTTTGGTTGGCAGGAGAGACAGAGGGAAATCCTTCATTGCGCCATCCAGAATGATTGAGCTTCAGGAACTCATTGCCACAAGACATAGAGATGGTAATTAGGCTTAAGGACAAGCTACACACATCACTAAGTTCTCCTCTTTCAGACATACTTAAAAAAAATAAATAGCACTCACCAGTGCCTTCTGTTCTCACCAGGAACATCACACGTGCGGAAGGTCTGGTGTAACTCTTTCCTCTCCTACCACAGTCCTAATAAAACCTGCCCCTACTTATAGGGGAGGCTGCTGGCTTTGGTTTTGTGGAGGTAGGAAATGCGCTATGCATTTTAGCCTGAGATTTTAAAGTTGCTATCTAGAATACCATATCTATTCGGAGGGATAAGGCCCAGCATTTTACATCACTCTTGTAAAGTTTGGTGTAAACCTGGAGTGGATGTACCCTCTCCCATGTGAAATTGGAGTCGCCAGTTTTCATTGCTCTTTAACAACTAAAGACATCACCAGAAAGAAGGTCCCCATGGATACCAGTGGATGCTCTCCTTTCCTACAAGTGAAAAACAACTGTTCTTTGTGGGTCTGTGTGACTTCTGTCAAGACTGTGCTGTGAAGGAAAAGGTTGAACTCTCCCATTCTGTGCATGCTGAAGATCTTATTCAAAGAGATGCTTCCATCCTTGCTCTGTGCATTCTGCTTCCAACCAACCAACCAACCAACCAACCAACCAACCAACCAACCAACCAACCAACCAACCAACCAACCAACCAACCAACCAACCAACCAAACCTTTTGTGGTGCTTCAAGATGCCTTCAGCATCATCTGGTGTGACACGTTGATGGCTTTGATTCCTGGACGATAAGGTGCATTAGAACTTCCTCACCAATGATTAGCTTGTTTATTTTATACTTCCTTACTTCTTTTAATACCATCTGTGTTCCTGGTGTGTTGCAAAGAGCAGCCTTAACAGATCTCTGCCCCAAGGGACTTACAATCTAAAAATAGACAGAAGGGAAACCACAGAGGGAGTGGAGAGTATTGGAGGCAGGGGGTCAATGGAAGAAGAAAATGTGTTCACTCCTGAGGCTTCAGAAGGTTTAAGAATTAGGGGGTTATGCTAAACATTTTACAGAAAAGGTGGTTAGAAAGATGTAAGGAAGATGGCATTATGCAAGTGTTTTGTGTAGTGGCTGGAGAATGTACTCTTTGGACCTATAATTGCTCGTGGCTTTGCTAGCTGGGGGATAGGTCGTTCAGAAACGTAACTTTTCCAAGCTCTTCATTCAGTTCATCTGTACACAAAAGGCAACAGCAAAGGGCAGAACAGGGAGAGAAAGAACCTCAAATCTGGAAGAAAAAGCAAAGGGAAAGAATATTTGGAAAAAAAAATCAACTTTCCTCTGAAACGGTCTGAAACCGCTGATGTGGTATTTCTTCCGATGGGGATGGAGACTAAATTAAGAAGGTCCATGTGACTTTCCCTCTCGTAAGCAAAACAGGGGCTTGTTTGTGCCAAAAAGGAGGTGGGGGTGCATGGGGAAGGTAGTGAAAGAGGACAACGCCGGGACTGCAAGAGAAAATGAGCCCTCCGTGACTCGTGCTTGGAGGGGGGCAGGAGGAGACACGATGGGGGGCATTGAGATGGGCCCAGAAGCAAAGCGGAGAGAGTCTTGCCTGTTTCGTGTCCCATCAGGCCAGGAAAGAAATTGGAGGAGCCTTCAGCGACATATGCAACGTTCCAGGTCCAATCCTCATACCTCTACAGGAAATAAGAATGATCATGTGCTGTCAAGTTAATTCTGATTTAGGACAACATTTTTCATTTTTTTCCAGGGTTCTCTAGGTAGGGAATATTCAGAAGTGGTTTCCCCTTCGCTTCTTCTGGGACTTCTGTGCAGCTGGCCCAAGGCTACCCAGGTTGGCTCTTCTCCCAGGAGGCGCAAGGAGAGAATCGAACTCCCAACCTCCGGCTCCTCAGCCAGATCCTTAAAGCACTCAGCGAAAGGGTTGGGAAAGTTGGGCGGACCCTCCTGAGTCCTGGAGAGCATGTCTTCTTGGTCATTGTAGACCGAGGTGGACATTTGGGTGGGCCTGTGGTGGTGGTGGGGAGGCAGTTACAGCCCAGACTTTACCTTGGGTGTCAAGTCTGCTCCAACAAGTGAGTGTTTGTGAACCTTCCGTGACCTCAAACCCACATGGATGAAGGCAAGGAGCTCACAGTCAAGAGGAATGGTCCACTTGAGAACTGAATGTATACAGGTTGCATCTCAAAAGGTTAGCGACAGGGGGTGGGCAGCTAAGATAGTGGAACTTAGTGGTTAGAGTGTTTGGGAAACCTAGGATGGCGTCCCTAGCGAGCTATGCAACTCCCTCGGTCACCTTAGACCAGTCACTTTCTCAGCCTGGTCTACCTTACAGGGTTATTCTGTGCATAAAGTGGGAAAGGGAGACCCATAATCTTGACCTCATTGAATAATGAGGGTGAAGTGAGATTCAGAAGGGATCTTGAAAGCCACCTCCAGATATCTGATAGCTGCTGGCATGGAAGAAAGAATGAACCGGTTTTCTGCCACTCCGGAAAAGGAGACCTGAGCCATTGGGTTCAAATTTCAAGCGTAATCCGATTAAACTTTAGGGGAAATATTTTCACGGTGGAATGGACTTCCTTAAAATAAATAATAACGAGAGGCTGTTTTCCCATGGAAAGTTGTCCGTAGACGTTTGGATATCCGTCGCTCGGGGATGCTCTCGAGTAGATGATTCTTGGAGACCCATCTAGCGCCGCAAATCTGTGACGCCACGAGTCTCGTGAAGTCCTCTCAAGATCTCTGCTAACATTTGTGGTCGCTCTGAAGCCCACTTTGCTCTTCCTGCTTCTGAAGACAATATCCTTTGTTCTGTCTCAGCCTTTGCTGAGAGAGGAATCAATTTCTCACCCCCTGTGCAATGAGGACGTTTAAATTTAGAAAACCTGTCCCTCTGCCCTCTGCCCTTTCCGAGTCCTCGTTTCAGCTCGTGGCGTCCGTGGGGGCTTTCGGAGGTGGTCTGGCCCTTGCACGGTGTTGGAGGCTGCAGAGGGAAAGGAAAAGACAGAAAGAAAATCACATTGTGCATGACTTGAAATTCCAGCTGCTAGGAACAGCTGATCAAGAATAGACTTCCTCAACCCGGTGTTACACCGGCTGTGGGATTATGGGCTCGTTAGTCCAAAGCCTACTGAAGTTCCTGGATTGGGGAAGACTGGATGAGAACATAAGAGAGAATTCCCTAGCTGCCATATATATTCTTTTGCTTTTGGAATTACCTTGTATGAAGAAGGTGTTTGATTCAGAGGGAGGGCAACCAGGATGATCAGGGGACCAGAAACCAAGCCCAAGGAGGACAGTCTGGAAGGACTGAACATGTTTAGCCTTGAGGAAAGAAGACTGAGAGGAGATAGAATGGCACTTTTTCAAATCCTTGAAAGGTAGCCCTACAGAGGAGGGGCAGGATCTGTTCTCCATCATCTCGGAGTGCAGGACACATTGCGGTGGGCTCATGTGACAGGGAGCCAGATTTAGGCTGAATATCAGAAAAAAACGTCTTCACTGTTAGAGCAGTATGACAACAAAACCCATGACCTCGGGAGGTGGAGAGCATTCCGACGCTGGAGGCCTTCAAGAGAAAACTGGACACCCACCTGTCAGATCTGCTTTGATTTGGATTCCTGCCTTGAGCAGGGGGGTTGGATTCGAGGCCCCTTCGCACTCAGTGATTCTGTGCTTTTATGATGTTGCTTGAATCTTAGATGTTAGAACAGCAGAGCTGGAAAAGACCCTACGGATCATGGAGTCCAGCTCCTGTCAAGGTGGCCCAGGGGGGAATCAAACTCCCAACCTCTGGCTCCACAGCCAGATGCCTCAACCACTGAGCTATCCCACTGTCCTAATTCCATCCAAATCAGCAGGTCTCCAAATTTCATAGCCAAGATCTTCATAGTGATTTAAGCATACGTTTCATAAAGAATTACTTTTATCTGCTCGTGTGGGACTCCGCCCAAATCAGCTCTGTGGGGTGCCTAACCTGTTTTTTCCAAGTTCTTAATCTAAAAACAGAGAGGTCACCAAACCTTTGATGCCCTCCTTCTACGCAAGCTCCCGTCCTGTCTGCTTGCTCCTGTTCCAAACCTGCAGACTTTCCCAATACCTAATTTTCTCTTCTCTCCTTCTCTCTCTTTCTCCACTCCTTGTAGGAGGTTGTCATGATTGTGGTTTTCGGAATGGAGTACATTGTCCGGGTCTGGTCAGCGGGATGTTGCTGCCGTTACCGAGGCTGGCAGGGGCGATTTCGGTTTGCCCGTAAACCCTTCTGTGTCATCGGTGAGTGTCAAGAAGGGTGTATTTAAGTTGTCTTAATGCAGCTGGGAGAAGACGAGGGGAGCTTTTCATGGAAAGAGCAGTAGGGGTTAGGGTAGAAAGGAAGTGGTCAAATCTGTGCCACCAATTGATTGATTGATTGATTGATTGATTGATTGATTGACTGACTGACTGACTGACTGACTGACTGACTGACTGATTGATTTACCACCCCACTAGTGCAATGCACTATTCGGTGCAGATGATAACAATAAAGGATAAAACACATAACTACTGGGTTTCCCCGAAAATAAGACAGGGTCTTATATTAATTTTTGCTCCAAAAAACACATTAGGACTTATTTTCAGGGGATGTTTTATTTTTTTCATGTACAACCATCTACATTTATTCAAATAGACTCATGTCATCTTCTTCTGGTTGCTGCACAAGGGTGGAGGGCATGGTTTCACTTCACTGGGGCTTATTTTTGGGTAGGGCTTATATTGCAAGCGTCCTGAAAAACTAGGGCTTATTTTTGGGTTAGGTCTTATTTTCGAGGAAGCAGGGCATCAGACTACAAATATGTACTAAGAACTTAGAAACATTTGACAGGTAAAACATGGGGCCCTAAAGCTTCTGATGAAATGATAGAGGAATGCAGATCGTTGCTTATCTTCCATCTTGCATGCAAGGAGGAAGAACTGCAAAAAGGATTCATCGCATCCTCAAAGAAAGGATGGCCTTTTGTGGCAAGTGAGGAGAAAGGGCATGAGGAGCATTTTTCTTGCATTGGTTAAGTAAAATGGCTCAAACAACACTTTAGCTCAAATAGGACTCATTCTGCAAAAGGAACATACAGTACACGAGAGGCAGCTTGGCAAAAGCTGGATTTTCCAGGATTTGGGACATTTATTTATGCACGTGTCTTCATTTACTTTTGTAAAAGAACCACAAAATTAAACGAAGATATGTGGACCCTTAAAAAGGGAGGGTGAAAAAAACCCATTATCATCGTCTTTAAAAAGATTAAATAGTATAACAGCATTAAAAACACGTACCCAGAAAGATCATATAATATCAGCAGGTGTAGGACTTCTAAAGAGTTAAAGATTAGGGGTCTGTCTGAACAAAGAAGTTTTTAAAAGCCTAGCCTCGTGGGGAGAAGGGGGATTCTGTAATTCTGGTGTCAACCACCAGGTTGCTGAACCCTGTCCATCCGAACGGAATTCTAGAGCCTTTCCCCGCCAACCTGGAAGGCATCACACGACCTTCTCCTGGCTCTCTCCCTGTCTTCCAGATTTCATCGTCTTCATTGCCTCCCTGGCCGTCATCGCTGCTGGAACCCAGGGGAACATCTTTGCTACCTCGGCGCTGCGCAGCATGCGTTTCCTGCAGATCTTGCGCATGGTGCGCATGGACCGTCGCGGCGGGACTTGGAAGCTGCTCGGCTCGGTGGTCTACGCGCACAGCAAAGTGAGTTGGCGTCGGCGGAGAAAACGGACCAAGCCGAACGACAAAGGAGAAACCCAAATTTGGGGTGAAGGAACACAGAGGCACCCCCCTGATGTATTTTAGGCTCTGATGTTGAGCTTTTTTAAAAACCCTTTTCTAGAGGAAAATCAGAGACAGAAATTAGGAGGGACCTCCTCGGCTCCTGAGATGAATAGGCAATTTGAACGAGTTTGTTTTATTCCCAAATATGCAGTCGTGACATCAGTGGCAATGGTACTATTTTTTAATTCGTCATGGAATCCTATTGATTGACTGTTTTTTTTTTAAATGGCACTTCCCCCCCCCAAGATTGGGATCCCCGCCAGTTTACAATGCATTTAAAACAAAACTAAACAGCATCTTTAAAAGACAAAACAATTTTGCATCAAGGAGGAAAGAAAATCAGCACATCTAATTAAAACTCCATATCCTGAGTAGGATGTCATTTGGCAATAATTTTTTGTCTGCTGTAGAAGGAGAACAGAACAGGGGCACTTCCCCCCCCCAAGATTGGGATCCCCGCCAGTTTACAATGCATTTAAAACAAAACTAAACAGCATCTTTAAAAGACAAAACAATTTTGCATCAAGGAGGAAAGAAAATCAGCACATCTAATTAAAACTCCATATCCTGAGTAGGATGTCATTTGGCAATAATTTTTTGTCTGCTGTAGAAGGAGAACAGAACAGGGAGGTGATGGTTGTGACATCAGTGGCGATGGTACTATTTTTTAATCCGTCATGGAATCCTATTGATTGACTGGGTTTTTTTTAACGGCACTCCCCCCCCCCC